TCTCTGGTTCCCTGTTTACAATCTTGTAGGCTCATTTACTTTGGATACTTCCATAGCTGGGTTGGTTTCTGGGTTATATCATCATGTGTGTTAATGGTCAGTTGTTGCCTGTTGTTTCTCTGTCCAAAAGGCTCCCTTTAGCATCTCTGGTAAGGTTGGTCTAGTTTTAACAAATTCCCTTAATTTCGGCTTATCTGGAAATGTCCTAATGTCACCATCATATTTGAGGGACAATTTTGCTGGGTACATAATTCTTGGTTGGAAAATTTTCTCTTTCAGAGTTTTATATATACCATCCTGTTGTCTTCTTGCCTGATTGGTTTCTGCTGAGAAATCCGAGCTTAGTCTTATTGGTTGCCCCTTGTAGGTAACTTTTCATGTTTCCCATGCTGCTCTCATGGTTCTTTGTTAGTTTTTGGTTTTGGTGAATTTGATAATGATATGTCTTGGTGATTTTCTTTTGGTGTCTATCCTGTTTGTGATTCATTGGACTTCCTGAATATATTCTCATCTTTCATCATACCAGAAAAATTCTCTTCCAACAAATCTTCAACTATTTTTTCTGTGGTTTTATTTGTCTCTTCCTGTTCTGGAATTCTGATTACATGTAGGTTGTTCCTTTTGATGGTATCCAACATGAACATTAGGCTTTCTTCATTTTGTTTTGACCTTTTTTTCTGATTTATCCCTTTCCAAAGAAGTGTTCAGGTATTTGCTTTCAATCTCCCTAATTCTGTCTTCCACTGATTCAATTCTGCTCCTTTGCCCATTCAATGTCTTATCTATTTCTGAAAATTTAGTATTAATCTTCTGGATTTCTGTCTGTAGATTTTGTATCATTTCTAATTTTTCATTTATTTTGTCATTTTGTTCTTGTATTGTCTTTTGAAATTGTTCTAGGGTTTTCTCTGATCTCTCAATTCATTGAAGATACTCAGATATAATTCTTTTGAATTCCTTATCAGGGAGTTCCAATGCTGCGTCTTCCTCAGGGATGTGTTTTAGGTCTGTATCCTGGTCCTTTGTTTCTTCTGCTTTATCTTGCTTCTTTGTGTGGACTGTGATGTTCTGTTGTCTCTGAGACATTGTGACATTTTTGTGTTTATATTTAATTGGTGATTGTATGTTGGAGTGACTTTCCCATGATTTTAGTTTTCTTTGTACGTTATCTGTGCAAGCAGGGTACTGTGCTCCTCTATTCGCTAGTTGACAGCACTTATACACTCACCACCTGTCTCCTTTCCTGTTGTCAGCCTGTTGGATGTCCCTGCTGACCTTGGCCAGAGCCAAGGTCCCTGGAATCCGAATGAGAATGCTATCAATTTAAAATCCAAAATGGTTACCACTTGTAAAGATTCAAAATGGCTGTGCCCTTGGTCACTTTAAATATCCAAAATGGCTGCACCCTCCAGACAGCAGAAAGTCCACAGCTCAGGTAGTCTCCCTCCTTGCTGTTTCCCTTCCTAGTCATAGGCCACCAACACAGTTGTCCCTGCAGCCCTTGGTGACCAGGGCTGATCTTTAGGTCAATTCTCAGGTCCCAACCACTTGGAAATATTCAGACTGTTGGTCCCGTCAGAATAGCTGACAGTCCACAGCTCTGACTATCTCTGTACTCACTGTTTTCATTCAGGTTTTTCCACTAGTTGGTGCCTAATCCACTTCTGTATAGTTCCTTTCAAAGCTCAGGGATCGAGTATTATCTTCTATATCTCTGTCAATTGTTTTTTCTTTTCTTTGTTGAAGAGGGTCTGTGTTGCTTGTCTGCCTATTCCTCCATCTTACCGGAAATCCGACCTGTTAATTTCTTAATAAATTCTATAATTGTGAGTATTGCCCATGAGTTCTGTGTGGCCATTGCAATGAACTATCAAATCCAGCAAAAAAGTAGAGAATGTTGTGGGAGGGATAGGTGGTGTCAGAATTGGTCAAAAGGTTGGAGGGTGGTGGCATGCTTGATCTCCACCTCATCAGAATCAGCGTTGGGCTGTTGATGTTGATCTTGATCCTCCTCCAACTTTGTGATGTTAGAGGAGGCCAGAAGCCTCCACCATTCATTTTGCACACAGGTAACACTCCTCTCTCTAAGCCTCAGTTTCCTCTTCTGTAAAATGTGCACACCAAACAGCACCTATTTCATAGGGTTTGTTGCAAGGATTGGGAGTTAAGATTTAGAAAGTGCTTAGAGCATATAGTGAGCATTCTGTGTTTTTAAAATAAATTCATTCAACAAACATGTATTGAACACCTATT